TCTGCTTATGCCAGTGACCCACAGGCAGGTGTAACAGCACATCAGTTAACCGGAGATGGAAATTATAGTTCAATAGATACACAATCTAAATACCATAGAGAGATATACGATGTAATAGCCAAACAAGCCCTGAAAGCTATGAAAAACCTTCACACTACAGACCAAAATAACAACCTGTCCTCCACAAAAGCATTACAAAATTATACTGAGCCAAATTCAAGATGTTTAGATCGGCTGCAATCTGTTTTAAACAAACAAGTGGAATACGATAAAGCCAGAGAGATGCTGTATAAGCAATTGGCTTTTGAAAAGGCAAGCTCAAGCTGTGGAGAAGCTTTGCAAACCCCTCTTGAAAGGGAAGGCTACAGCATTGCTGAGTTAGTTCAACCCTACCAAAGAGTTAGCTCTGTGAAACACCAATCTAACCCTTTTGCTATAACCCTAAAAGCCCAGTTAGGAGTAAAAGATGAGGCCAGACACAGAGCTAGTTGTGTTACATGTGGTGACAGTAACCAGTATCAGAGAGATTTCCCTTGGAGACCCTTAGCAGCAACATCCCACAACTACCTAAGCAGCAGGGAATGGGCTGAGTTATACCAAGGGTGCCATGAGCAAGGCAAAAGCTATGCCACAAGCATTGTACTGCTTGCTGCCGTGCTGCTTGCTATCCTCCTCTCTACCATCCGCTTTCCTGAGCAAGAGACGAAGCAGCTTAAAGCAAGCCACGATATGCCAACAACCAGCCCCAAAAATACCCCTGTATTCTGCACCCCCAAGAAAGGTGAGAAGTGGAAAACACTGCAAATATTAAGAGCAGAAAACGCAGTCATAAAGCATACGGAAGCTTTGCAGCTTGGACTGCCCTTACCTACAAGGCTACCAGCAAATTGGCCTCTAATGATAATTGATTTAAAGAACTATTTGTTTACCATCCTTCTGCACCCTGAGAATGTGCCAAGGTTTACATTTTCCATCATGGCCTTGAACAATGTACAGCCCATGCAAGACCACCAGCCCTGCTGGGCTGTTCTTCCTTGGAGGATGCAAAACAACCTGACGAAAAATCAGACAATTATCATACACCATCATGTAGACAACACATTAATAACCACCGCCATAAGAAATGAACTGCCATTTGTTATTACTGCTCTAACCAAAACTGTCCAAGATGCAGGATTTCAGATTGTTTCAGAAAGGATCCAACCATCACAACCCTGGACTTATCTTGGATGGAGGATATCACACAGCAAGAAATTTCCACACAGCCACTGCAGCTCGAGGTAAAGGACACTTTAACTTTACATGAGTTGCAAAAACTCCTGGGGGCCATAAATTGGTTAAGGCCTTTTTTAGGCATAACCACAGATGAGCTACACCCTCTATTTGTGCTGCTAAGGGGAGACTCCAACCTAACATCTAACAGGTCTCTGACAGCAGAGACAAAGCGGACGTTAGACATTTGTGCCAAGGCAATAGAGAATAGGCAGGGCAGAAGGAGAAATCCTGAACTGCAAATCTGCCTGGCCTTAGTTCCCAACAGGTACCAGCCATTTGCAGTCTTGTTTCAGTGGGATCAGACTGAGAAAGACCCGCTGCTAATTCTGGAGTGGCTCTTTCTGCCCCACACACCACCTAAGACTGTGTGGACCATTAACGAAATGTTTGCTAAGCTTGTCATTAAAGGCAGAGGATTAAAGGACTGCAGGAACTGGATGGAAGGGATCCTGCCATCATCTACATCTCAACTATGAAGGACAATTTGGATTGGATACTGGCTGAGGAAGCAGGATTCCAAGCTGCCTTGGCAAACTTTGATAGTAACATTTCAATCCATCTCCCTAAACACAGATTGTGGGCGGAAATCGGTAATTTACCTTTAAAGGCCACAACCAGATGCAAAAATGAACCAGTAAAAGGCCTCAGGGCCTTCACAGATGCATCTGGGAAAAACAAGAAAGGCTGCAATGACTTTAGTAAATCCTGCCACAGAACAGTGGGAATGAGAAGTACAGACCATGAACCAAACTCCTGTACAGGTTCTGGAACTGGCTGCCATTCATATTGCCTTGGGGAAATTTTCTAAACAACTTTTTAATGTTGTAACTAATTCCTGTTATACTATAAGGTTAATCCCCCCTTTTGAAAGTTAGTTTCTTTGAGATATTGTTAACCCTCACCTGTTGTCTGAAATGTGTTCTGTTTGGTTTCTTGTGATTCATAGAAGGTTTGATTTCTATATAATACACACAAAATCACATGCTAACATGCCAGGGCCAATGACTGACAGAAACTGAGATACACATCCACAAAACATAACTGCCACAGCATCCACTGAACAAAACACCAAAAGTGTAAAACACACTGGCTTAGTTGTTTAGCAACCTTTGGTATCCCAAAGCAGATTAACTAATAATTAACACTAATAATAAATCGGCTCCACTTCCTATCAAATAGGAAAATTCTCACGTCACAGGCATTCCCATACTAACCCATAAGACAGGCAATTATTGAAAGAGCACATCACACACTGAAACACATGTCCAATAAACAACAAAAAAGGGGAAGAATCTGTGTAGCCCGCAAAAACATCTGTAAAAAGCCACATATGTTATCAATTTTTTAAATTGTGACAGCACTGAAAAGAGTAAGTATGAAAGGCAACATAGGCCCCAGACTTGTGCCTCTCCCGAACCACCGGTCATGGTAAGAAACTTGAATTCAGGACAGTGGACGAGATCCCTAGATTTTGTGACTTGGCGGGGAGGCTGTGTGGCTACAGGAAAAGAACTTAAGTGGATTCCTTCCAGGTGTGTAAAACCCTATTTAGGTACACAATCCAGCAGCAAGAACCAGAGTAACACAGAAGTTGTAAAAGAGTTATGTTAATGTTTCAGGTTTCAGGTTTACATTAAGGGACGACCAATGTGGTAAAAAGCAGTCAGTAAAAAATCTGTGAATGTGCGTGAGGTGAATGAGTGGTGGCCGCCGATGAATGAGAAGAGTGAATGAATAAAGAGAGTTGTTTGACTGGATAAATATTAAAACACAAAACACCTCACAAAATAACATTACACAAGGTCGCTTTAAGAAAATTTAGTTTTGCTAAGCTTATCCTGTTTCTTAAATAAAGCTGAACTCCCCAGTTATTTAAAAACGCTCAGATTAATAAAGGTTATAAGTTTATACATGGTTGAGCTAAGACCTTTAGGTTAATAAAGTTATTTCTCCAAGTTGCACTACCTTTTAGGAATATAAGAAAGTTTTATAAAGTTTACCATAGAGGTATAAGAGGCCAAGCAAGCGATGTGCTGGGTCATTGCGAGCTTTGGTAGTTTACAATGTACTGTTCTGATTGTTTGCACTGTTGTTTTTGCACTGTTTTTGTGACTTCTTTAGATAATTAAGAGGGCGGTGATGTAGGGGGGGTGTTTAAGGTACAAGGGATGTACCAGGGCAAGAGTGCCCAAGGGAGCATGCGCCAACACAGACAACCTTATTGGTCAAAGAAGTCACATGGTTTGAAGGGATAAAACCAGCGCTGAATTTGAAATAAATCCTCTTTGTTCACCATCTCACAAGGAACGCGCTTCCTTCTTTACCATGTAAAGTACCGCCACGCTACACATCTGTTGTATTCCATTGGGATTAACAATTGCCCTGTTTCACTAAAACCTTTCGTTGGCAGTCATTGCATCTTTGGAGCGTTTGACCAAGAGCAGCAGAGCTTTGAAAGCAGAATTTTTTTATAGTGGGAAAAGTGGCTTGACTTAGCTGCAGCCTATATCCGGACTCTGTCACATGCTTGCATTGCAGTTTTGATTTCTGACTGGTATAGGAATGTTATTTGAGACCTTAAAATTTCTGGTGGATTGGTAGTTTTTTCCCCCAGTTTTAAGCAAAGTAGTATATAGATTTTTCAGTATGAGCCTCTGGGTACTAACAGTGTTGATGTGTCCCCTTTGTAAAACCCTAAAATGACTAATTTTAGAAGCTGTGTCCTCATTGGGATGAAAGTGGTAGATAGGAAGATGGTGACAAGGGCTTTTGTCAGCACCAGTAGCAGTGCAGCCCTTGTAGCTGGCTCACTTGTGTAAATCCTCCATTTACAAAGTGCTTTAGTTGAAGAACGGTTTTGGATCCATGGATTCTGGGGTTTTGTCTTCATGATTTACAGTTGTTTATGTTGGATTGTTGCATCAGCTGAGGGGTGTTTGCGCTACACGTGTCACGTCTCTCGCGCTGGGCCAGCAGCCACTCTGGCAGCAGAGAGCAGGGAGGGAGCCGTGGGGAGTCACCTGCTCACACAGCCTGGAGCTCCTCTGGCCTGGGCAGCAGAGAAGCAGCTTCATTTGCAGGGTCTGTTTAGCATTATCCATGAATACAAAATCCTGTCCTTAAACAGACAAGAGGAGAAAGGGGGAAAAGAAGGAAATAAAACGGCAAGCAGCTCACATTGGTCCTGTGCCATTTTCTGGGTTTCTTTATTTTCCCCAAAGCTCATAACTTGAGGTCATTTTGGGATTAATTGAAGCTAATATCTTCACTTCAAAGCAACACAAGATCAAGCCAAATGTACATGCATAGCAATTAAAGACTTGGCAAGGTAATATGGATTGACTTCTACAGCAGCAGCTTTCTCCCTGTGCTGTTCCACTTGTTCAGGCCTTTGATGTGCTTCAGAGCACAACTAGCTGGGCCTGTGCTTAAACAAAGGAGCATTTTAGCACTCCATTCTGCAGAGGGTGACTGTTGTGCTATAGTTAATATTTTTAACAGTCTGTAAAATTGGAGAGATTATGAATCTGTATTATGACTGGCTACAGGAGAATTCTGTGGATAATGAAGAAGATTGCAGGGGGCAAATTGAACTATTTCTCTTTCATATGGTATAACATCAGTATTCCTTCAGTGCTAACAAAGATGAGGCCAATTTAGTACAAATCTTCAAAGCAACATGTGTGAATTTATCTGTCCAGTGCTCATTACAGTTAATGGGAATCATGTGGCTGGAACTTTGCAAGTGCTTTGAAAGTGCTTCTTTTATGGTTACATTATAGATCCCCTGATTATAGCTGATTTGCTATTATTTTTATATTGCTCCATTTGTTTTCTTGACACTAAAAAAGTGAAAAGAGTAAACTAATTAAAAACAGCATCACCCCCTCCAGTGTCAAAATAGAGTAAAATACTCATTTTATAAAGTAAATAAAATATTACTTATATATAAATCAACTTGAATCTCTCCTGTTTTAAATCCTGATAGTAAAAATCCTACTGCTTGTTGCATGCTAATTAAGGTGAGTTTAACTGGAAAGTCAAAATGTTGGTCCAGATATCTGTGTTTGAATTTTGGTCTTGCTGTGCTATTAGTCACCATGTGTGGTACAGTCTCTATCTTTTTAGGGATATCCTAAAGAGGATATAATCTTTAGGGAATCTGTAGGGAAGAAGAAAGACATAATGGAAACAGGAAGTTATAAGGCAGATAAGGAGCATAAAAGTGCACCTACACAGATGAAAGAGTAAAATGATGGAAGTTTGGTCATAATTAATGGTTTGATTGTTATACTATAAAAATACATGAATAGGCATATACCTTATTATGAAAAGGAGGGTTCTTTTTTTCCCCACTTGAAAATGGGATAAATTGGAGAACATTTTATAGAATCATTTGAAACAGAAGAATCATAAAAGGTTTCCAGTCTGGTATTAGGTGAAATACTCTGGGGTTTAGGTGAAGAAAATGCCTTGGCCTTAGGCCATTAAGGAGATGGTCAGTGATGTGTGCCCAGTGTGTGGGCTGTCTGTGATGGTGAGTGCCTTTACTTTCTCCCACAGTGTTATTTGGTGGGAGCCATGAGAAAAATACCCTACAGATCCTTCTTCTTGAACACAAAAAACTCTTCCAATTTCTTTGGATGGTCCTGTGAGTGTTAGGCATTGTGTTTTGGCTTCTTTTTGATCTAAAATGTGTCAGCACTTGTGTTCCTTCCTTCCTTTCAACCCAGGTTGTGTAGGAGTCTGGCTCTTAATTTTTGCGTTTGGTTTGTGTGACAAGGTTTTGGTAGTGGGGGGATACAGCTTCTCTGTCCAGTGGAGCCACTGTCAGGTGTCTCCAGGGTGGATGTGCCTCTGGCCAGGGCTGAGCCCATCAGAGGTAGCACCTCTGTGGTAACGGAGTTAAGTAGATGTGGGGGAGGCAACTTCAGCCAGAGAGAGGCGTGAGAATATGTGAGAGGAACAACTCAGCAGGCCCCCAGGGCAGGGCAGAAAGAGGGGC